TAGTATTTCTAAATTTTGACTTCAATAAATATTGATTTTAGCTAATCTGATTAAATATCAAGCCAAAATAATTTTACTAACAAAACGTTTCAGAATGAAATTAGTGTCTATTTGACTCTCTCAATGCGTACTTAGGGTCAATTTTCAACCTTGTTATTGACCTTATTGGTTAAAAGCGTATTGATTCATCCAAATAAGTCAACATTATCGACTATTTTCCTTTAACGCCTAATTTTCTCAAAAAAGAGGAAAAAGAGGATTTATATCCAAAAAGAGGGCTTTTCGTAAAATAGAGGAAAAAAAAGGAAAAAGAGGTGGAGTGGGAAGCCAGCTATCAATACGTTTAAGTTAAATCGCAAAAAATAAATCTATAGAAAAAAGAAAAAGAAAAAGAAAAAGAAACAAATCAAAATTGATAATTATATTCTAGAATATTTAAAATATAATATTGTTAAATAAAATAACAAAAGATAAATAATAGATAAACATACAAATATGTCGAAAATCACAAACACTAATCAATCAATTTGGCTTAAAATGAAATCTCCATTTGGTCAAGAACAATATATACCTAGAATAATTGATATAACAGCTGACAATATTCAACAATATAAACAAAAATCGAGGTTTTTTTCCACTTTAAAATAGTTGTTTAGTTATTATTTTTTTTAATTAAATTTATATTTATAACTTAATTAGGTGTATGAAATTTTGTTTATTCTTACTTTTACTTTTATTATTATTATTATTAATTGCTTCAATTCTTCTTCCAATATTACTTATTAAATCGAAACAAAGAACAACAACACCATCAACAACAACAATAACAATAAAAACAACGACGACAACAACAACAACAGCAAGTTAGTTTTTTATTTTTATTTTTATTTTTAATTAATCAAAAAAGAAAAAAGCAAAAAATAGTTGACGAATATATTCTGTTTGTTTCTTGAATATATTATATTTGAAGATGAATTATAAAAATAGTAAAAGTTAATATAATATAAATAAATCTTAATAAAATTAACTTCGAAATAATTTTTTTTTTCTTTTCTAAATAGAATTCTTTATGTATTATTTAATTATATTTATTATTTTAATATAAACAATATATTTATTCAATATAAAACAAATCTAAAAATATTTTTTATATTATTAAATTATGTTAAAAACAATTGACAACAACAATATATATATATTATTTAATTTAAACGTTTTTTTTTGTTTTCTCTTTACTTTCGAATAATATTTTCAATAATAAGATAAATATTTCAAATAAATATTTAGCAAAAAAAAATAATAAAAATTAATTTAACTCAAATACTTATATTATGTTAATATCGATAAATAAACTTGAGTAGTTTTATAGAATTTCTCTATTCTATTCTATTATAATAGAATATTTAGTCAAAATAAATCTTATATTTAATCTTGAAATAATTTCTTATATTATATTTAAATAAAACAAATTAATACTCATTATATTATATCATCATATCATATATTCAACAAACGTTTGTTTTTTTTTCTTTGATTATTTATAATAATAGAGAAAATATCTTTTCCTATAATCATACAAGGAAAATAAAATCTTGAAAATATGAAATAAATATTTGATATACTTAGGGGTATCCAAAAGTAGTGGCAACGACATTTTATTACCATATTTTAGGGCTGATAAAAAGTTCTTTTTACATAGAATGATAGAGCGGAAAATGCTCTTTCTTTCTATGCTATTTGATCTTACTTCGCTTGACATCATAATAACAAAATTCTAATAAAACTAGTTTGCCTAACATGTGTATCTGTTACAGACGTTCACAGTGTCTCCAATATGCATTCTTTTCGTGATCTTTTCTTTGTTTTTCTTCTTTCCTTTATTCTTTTCTCTCGTCTCTTCTGAGACTTTATCGTTTATTCATATCGGCATACTTGAAAATCAAAAATACATGAGCAAGTTTAATAAGTTTTATTTGATTAAATGTTCAAAGTAATCACCTTGATTATCTACACACAACTGCATTCTTTGAATCCATTTCTTAAACGTTTTTCTATACTCATCTTTATCCAAAGAATACATAAACTCGGTTATGGCGTGATGTAACGTTTTGGAATTAGGTTGATCAGTTAGATTTCGTTTGATAAGGTCGAATAACCAAAAATCACAGGGAGGTAGATCTGGAGAATTGGGCGGATGTTGTACTATGGTAATTCCCTCTGAACGAAGATAATCGAGGACATCTTGATGAACATGTGTTCGTCCATTATCATAATGAAGTTTGATAGCATGAGTACCGGAGGAAGGTCTTTATTTCTTAATTTCTTCGATCACATGTTGCAAACAATTTTTGATGTAATAATGGCGATCGATAGTCTGTTCACGTTCGACACGATGGATTAGAAGAGGACCAGTTGATTTAAAGAAAATGCAACATAAAGTTTTAGGAGCGAACTTATTTCGTCGTATTATTGTTGGTGGAGGATCATCTTTTGCCAC